GCGCGGACGCAGGGCTATCGCCTATCGACTCGCAATGCAATTGTACGCAAGCAGTCGCAATGAAGGCGTACTATGTAGTGCCCATAATCAAGCGGCCCCTCGTGAAATCGAGTACCGCTTATGACACTCGAGTGTCCGACTTGAAGTGCCGTGAGGGCCTAACCCTTCATGACATTGCACGACTGAAGGAATAGCCATGCACCCGCCGCGACACCTCCGGCTCTTGGCCTGAGTGTCTCGGTAGGCAAATCAAATAGGCTCTGCGTGAGGGAAAACCCCTCCCCTGCAGAGCCTAGGGCTTGGGGTGTCCTTGACAAGGACCTCGAATCCCAGCCCAGGACCAAACGTCCGACTAAGAAAATCATCAAAAAGCAGGAACAAAAATAGAAGTAGGGGTCTCCCCTAAGTTCCTCAGTCCCAGCTTCTGAGTGGGGCTTTAATATGGGGATTCTTCAACCCATGCAAACATTCATCCCAAGTATACCCATGTATACGTATATAAGGGTTAAGTAYGTGACRATCACTTTTCACGGTCTCACTGGGGTTTCTTCACAATAATACGTATATGTGTGATCGCAGGCAACCAAATCCAGAATCTGACTCACARCACATACMTGCAGTCACATCAACGAACCAAATCARCAACCCAMACATTACACGGAGTCAATCSCAACCACCTTCGACACTCATACCCCTCGCTTTAGCCATACAAGCCCCAAAACCTCTTGTCCAACCAACCTTAATTAAATACTCARTACCTTTGTTAAATGRCSATTCAATAAAAGTCCGGGTGAAAACCTTAATAAAACAACGAAGATCACCAGGGCTAAAGCCTTTTAGGTTGAGTGTGGAGGGAGAGTTGAAATTGAGTCGTAGACCGACGAATYGGCAACCGACCTGTTATCCGTGATAACAGTAAGTGATYCTCAAGGGATCAAGCTGGATCTARCCCTRAACTTGRATCAAATGATCAAAAGGACCTGAAACACACGAYAGATCAATCCCCAAGCTAAGATCATAAGTGTATGGAGAATATAACTACATAATACATCCTCACTCAAAATCTCCCTATAAGCTRAACTTAAGTCTACTTTTAAACCAAATGCTTAAGCTAAAGGTAGACCAACTAYRRAATTTCCSCTATTCTRGGTGGATTGCCTGAATCGCCACCTGTCAAAAATATAGTCTATCTCCTTTAAACTAAGAAAATTTTCGACAGCGCTTCCCGTAGGAAAAGTGTCTTTCCCGAATTTATATAAACTCAAATATGAACGCCGAAATAATCTCTAGGTATGGAAAGTCAAAATTATGTCTAACTCTCCTGAATTAGTAGAAATTTGGGCAGCACTCCCTTTAGAAAATGAGACTTCCCAGATTTATACTAAGTCAGATATAAAAAACAGAAATAATATGTAACTCTGGAGAATCAAATTCTGTCTAACTCTCTGAATTAGTAGAAATTTGGGCAGCACTCCCTTTAGAAAAGGAGA